GAATGACAATAAAGATACTTGAACTTGAACTAATGATGTTATAATCAGATTTAGCTTGACATGTGATAGGCTTTTCTTGTAATCTTCATGAATTATAGCTCTGCTGTAAGTGCTGTTTGTTAAATATCAAACATTTCTGACATCTCCTTCCCCAATGGTTTAAATAAATGAATCAGTTTTTGGCCTCAGTTTTAAATAACATAACCTTACAACGTGCAAAGCCTTTCATCTGTCAGACCATATCAGCTGACCAGATCTCCCAGCGGTGTTAATGGCAAACTGAGTCGGTGTGAAACTCCCTAACAAGGAACCTGATTGTTGCGTTAATGTGTTACTTCCTGTTGGAGTCACTTCTCGAGAATAGAGCTGAGTGGCCTGAGCGGGAAGAAATCCCCACATCAGAGCGATCACAGGCTTGCCAAGGTTTCACTTTGCAAGCCAGCTAGCAAGATAGACAGCCAGCCCGACAGCCTCCACTGCTGGCGATGGAGGAGATGGATTTCACTAAAGCAATCTGTGTGACCTGAAACCTACAGACCTTGGTGGTCCACACTATAGCCAGTGTTTGATAACAGGTGCACATTACACACATTTATGAGCGACAAATGTGGCATTTAAAAATTTGATTGTAAAGTAAAATGTCTTGCTAATTTCATTTTGTGGAGCTAAATTATCTTAATTTCAGTGCTTTTTAATGTTGTTTCAATGTGGCATTTCATTGTTAGCAGTTGGGACTGTTACTACTATAAATGCCTACAGATTATTCCCCACCTCAATGTCGGATTTACAACTTTGATCTCAAGGTATTAAAGTGAATAGTATCCACGCAGCAGAGCTGGGGTTTATGAAGCTTTAGAGCCTGCTCTATATGCATGGAGCTGTCTGAGACCAAGCAGAGAGTCTGCGAGACGAAACTGAGACAGAGACAATTTGGCTGATCGTGTGAGTAGCAGGTCAATTCCTTGGCAGGGGAAGTGCTGTGTTGCTATGGCAATATGCCTTTTTAACCACCCAAGAGTCGTGGGCCAGGGCAGCATCACTGGTGTGAGCGTTGTTCAAGAAGCAGGAGAGATCAGGATCTTAATCACTCAGCACTGGTGCAGGGGTGAGGGGTGGGAATGAAGCTCGAGGCCGTTTGGAACAGGAATTTTAGTACAAACACACTCACACATAGATAGATACAGAAAATCTCACAGAGAAACAAATAAAATTACTGAAGGCCTAGCATTCTTTGAAGGAATGCATGTGTCCCGCTGCCGTTCATGGCAGAGTTTTAAACTGAGTTCATTTTATGATGGCAAATAATGGAGTTGTAGACATTTTGGTCAAACCTTAAAATCAAAGTTCTGCTCATTTTTCTCATGCAACGTCATGAGAAGACGCTCTGAGAGTATTTTTGGTCAATATTTGTGACATTGATTGTGCTATAGTCGTTTTTGTGTTGACAAATGTTGATTTGCTATGGAAGCCATCTTGAATCAGATTGACTCCAAAAGGTAATCAGAGGTTGACATTTAATGATTAAAGATTAGGGAGTGGTGGCACAGAAGCTAGAAAAGGTGGGCCTGTGATTTGAAGGTCGTCGGTTCGACTCCCCATACCGACAGCATCAAAATGTGAGTGAAAAATGTAAAACACCCACACCTGTCTCCACCCTCACTTGCCCCACTCTGGGCCTTTGAGCAAAGCCCCTAACCCTCACCATCTGCTCCAAAACAGGTGAAAAGAGTTCTCGTGACTCAGAGATGACCTGTTTAGGAAGAAACATTCTGAAAATTGATATAAAATTCATCCAGTGGCTCATGAAATGTTTTGCTAACAGACAAAGAGGATTGGCTCCTGCAGTTGATGCTAAAGTTTTCAGCAAAATTGTAGCATGAGTATATTTTATGAATGACTGCCACATAACATTGTAGCTTGATATCTGTCAAACTGATTTAATTACAGATGTTTTTGTGTTTGCAATTGTTTACTATCTGGGTGTTCAAAAACTTCTTTAAAAGGTCTTCAGTTGATCCAAAATGCTGCTGCCAGAGTTTTAATGGGAGTTTACAGTTTTAACTTCTCTCATTGGCTCCCTGTCAAATTCTGAATAGAATTCAAAATCTTACTTCTAACCTACAAAGACCTCAACAACCTAGCTCCCTCTCTGATCTTATTGTTCCATATTTTCCTAACAGAGCACTTTGCTTTCAGACTGAAGGTTTACTTGTAGTTCCTAGAGTTTCCAAAATCAGAACATGAGGCAGAGCTTTCAGTTATCTCTTGTGGAACCAAGTTCCAGTTTCAGTCCGTGAGGCTGACACATTGTCCAGTTTTAAAATTAGGATTAAGTCTTTCCTTTTTGATAAATCCTATAGTTAGGGCTGGCTTGGGTTTCCTGAGTTATCCCTTAGTTAAACTGACATAGGCTTAGACTGCTGGAGGACAAACTGACCACATTTCTTCTGCATGCTACTGTCTTTACTTACTCTGTTCAACCTTGTATTTGTAACTTTTTATATCCTTGACATGTGTTTTTGTCTTTCTTCTAATAGGAGGTACATCTGCACCTACATCTGGACCTGCCATTCTGTGTTCATTTGTCTCCTTTCTGTCCTCTCAAACTCAGCCGGTCAAAACAGATGGCCACCTGTCCTGAGCCTGGTTCTGCTGGAGATTTCTTCCTTTTAAAAGGAAGCTTTTCCTTTCCACTGTTGCCTTTGTGCTTGCTCAGGATGGGACTGTGACGACGTGAAGATTCAATGAGTCAGCTTTTTTTTTTTTTTTTTGTTTATAGACTGACCCCCATGACCCAAAATGGAAGAAGCGGGTAAAAGATAATGGATGGATGGATGGATGTTTATAGACTTTCAATAATCATTTTTGACCATTTTAATAAAATGGGTTAGCATTGTAGCTTTTCGACATGGGGCAATAATAATTAAGAGGAATGAGCAATTTTTTCTTTTTTTCTAATTAGTTTTAGTTAAGCATCTGTTTCAGGTATCCTAAAAAATAGATTTCAGCAATATCATCTCAATGCATCAGTACTTAGGAATCTTGTTATTATTATTTTTTGTTAAAAGCATCACTTCATGCTCTTTAATATGTCCGACTTCTTTTGGCATCATTCATGGGGACAAATAATAAAATAAGAAGGAAACGTGTGTCACTTATCCCAGTTTGTGTCTTTTTCCCTCTCCGGCTCTGAAAGCCTGAAGAGGAAATCAATCCTGAAGTTGTTATGAAACTTAATAACTGACTGACCATCTGATTCACACCCTGTCTGTCCAAGACATGGCACATATTTATTTCCAGCAAGTGATTGCATCAAATTTGTCCTGTTTTTAACTTTGTTAGGAGGGAAAAAAAACATGCTTGGCGGATGCACAGCACACACTGGTGGCTGCAGGGAGCCAAAAGCACTTTATTTATGTTTGGACGGCAGTGGGCGCGCTCAGTTCTGCTTGGCACCGATAGTGTGCTGTGGTCTTTGGCACCACTTCGCAAACCATCCTGTCCCCCTGACATACACTACTCCTCATCTCAACCGGGCCTCTGTAACATCTTGTGTATGTGTGCATTTGGTTACTCAAGGTAAGTCAAAAATCATGCAAAATATACAGGGAGCTACAGTATTTTGCATCGTTTTCAAAAAGACTACAGCTTTTCTAATTGAGCATGATTTTTTTTTCCATTTAGTTTAGTCTCCAGTACATCTAAAGTCTAGGGACCTAAATATGCATAGTTCCAAAAGGAAAATCAAATTAAATACATATGCCAGTAGCTAATATTCTACTGTTTGGGACTTTGCTACTTGAAAATGATTTAAGACGTCACACATAGGGCATGAGTGACTCTTGTGGTAATATCAGCCAAGTGTAAAGTCTAATCTTCCCTCATCTTTGCTCATGCAAAGAGTTTCTTCCCTTCCAGGGCATACACTGAGCACAACCATTCAAAAAAAAAGTTAGGAGGTTAGTTTACATCTGCTGCAGACAGAACATAAAGTAGGCCTAAGCAAAACTGCATAGGTTTGAACTCAAACAATTAGGGATGCACGAAATTAGATTTTTGGCCGATATCCGATATCCGATATCCGATATCCGATATGCCTATATGCTAAAACTTATTTGGCCGATAACCAATACAGATATTTTAATATACTTTCCTTTGTCAAAACATAGCCCGCTTATTTGCTACTTTGTACAAAAATTGTGTAACAGCTGTAAATTCTGTGACATATATTCAGTAACAGCCATTTGATATGCATAGCACTTTAACTTATTTTAACTGAAAGTGTTAAATGTTATTTATTAGCATTAGTCACCTGTGATGCTGTCTCACTCGTGGAGCCTTGTTCCAGGTTCCTAGCTGCAGTGTGGGATCCTCTGCTCTCTTGTGCATGAAGGACAGACTTTTTAAGTTCAAAGTTTTTGTCTATCCATTGTGCTGTAATACTAATCATGCTAACGATGCTAACACGACGTCCACATGTCTGTGAGAAAACTCTCTCAAGTGCTATCGGCTATTAGCTTCTCAATGACGTTGGAAATGACGGGTTGTAACT